TCAAATATAAAAGTCTATATATTTGAAGGAAACCCTCTTGTAATCCTAAAAAGAATAGAGAGTGGTTTCCTTGTCGTAGACGTAGGCTTCCTAGCCGAACCATGTAAATTATTCTTTATTGTGGAGAGTTTTTCTCTTCCAATACTTTTCAAATAGTTACTAAAATGACTGCTCCACTGCGTATACTTATAAAATAGGATATACAAAATACATATAAAATCGGTACATTGTACTCAGTCTTGCCCATAGGCCGAGGGCGAGTAATTCGGCCGAGTCTAAAAACAGTAAGCCAAAGCATCAGCTGCTCCATTCATCTCTCTTTTAACGCGGACGGAGGATACTTCTTTACTGTATAGGACAAATATGATCTCATCCATAATATGACTCCAAGCCTAGGGTGTCTTCTTCAGATCTTTGTGCCAAGTGATGACATTGGATAAATCTCCTTCAATGACCACATTAGTGTGTTGCGCCTCCCACTTGACCAGCCCAAAGCTCTGCTTCATTTGACGTGTAGGGATGCAAACTTCTTTGATATGTCCAAAGAATATCCTCCAAGATTTCCCTCAACAAGCTCCCATAGTCTGCTATCTGACCTCCCTCTCTTACACTCACATCAAAGTTAAGCCCGGCTAATGAATGTGGAACCCATCTGGAGGGTTTTACTATCCTCTTGTTCTTATGTAACAATAAATCCTTGAAGTGTATGTCAAATAGCTTCCTCTATACATCTTTGTTGCATGTTAAGACTTGTGCCCAAGTTGTGGCCAAATGAAGAATAACCTGGCAAGGTATGGACATTTGCTTCCTTCCATACATTCCATAAGATTGAGACCAATGGAATTCTCCACAGATGCAGTCCTTGGGTAGAAAATGGTGGAGACCAAATTTGGTGCAAGATGTGGTCCAGATGATGAGACATGACCCAAAACCAGCTAACTTTAGTTAATAACCAATCCCATATCTCTTTCACCATAGGGCGGTGAAAAAACAGATGGGAGCTAGTTTCCTCGTCCTTTTGGAAAAACAAATATATGTTGCGGTGATCATTCATCTTTTCCTCAGTTGATCCGTGGATAATGTGAGTGGATAGAACCAATGTTATCAAAATCCCTTTGCTTCAGTCGAAGAGGCTGAAGCCTTTGGATTTTAGGCATAAATCGAAGAGAAGCGAAGCCGAATGTTGTCGCTTCGATCAAATTTGGACCGCTTAAAGCTGCTTCGGTCAAATTCGGACTGCTTCAGGCTGCTTCGGTCAAATTCGGACGATTTCGGATTTGCTTCGGGTATGCTTCAACCAGTAAAGAAATAACTATATAAATGTATTTTTTATATTTTTTATTTTATTTTTTTTCCATTATTTATGTGTACTTTATATATAAATATCGAATTTATTTATATTAAACTAAAAAAAAGTCTGAGGTCTTCTCCCTAATCGGCCGAAGCACCGAATTGCTTCATTTTTCTCACCAAACCAAAGAAGACTCCGAAGCAAATATGACAACATTGGATAGAACCCTTGTCCTAACATCCTCCTTTATGTGCAATGTTCAAGACGGCGGATGTGGCCGCCTAGGCGGGTGGCAAGATACTTGAGTAGCCCTAAGAGAAGGGGGTTGAGATGATGGCTATACATTGTTTTATGTGTGTGTTTTGTGAATGTGTGTGTGTATGTGCATGCACACATGTGTGTGTGTGAGGTCACATATGAAATTATTAAAGATCATCCTCTCTTTTTTTTTTATCTGTATTTGTGAGAGAGGTCTCAAACACTTGGAGGATATGTCAAGAGAGAGAAAGAGAGGGACCTAGCATCAAACATTTGTTGGTCATCTTCTTATATTTCTTCTTCTTTCATGTAAAGAGGGAGCATATGAGTCCATGTGTATCTTTGTGTGTGTGTGTGTGTATGTGTGAGAGCCACACATCGAACACTTTGAGTCTTTCTTCTTCTTCTTCTTTTTTCATATGTAGAGAGATAGAAAGAGAAGGGTAATACCAGGCTTTATTTTTATTTGGATGAATTTGAATTTCTTTGTTTCTTTTTTCATGGGACGGCACTAGGTGGGCACTCATACCGCCTAGGCACCCGCCTTGAGCATGCCCGCCCAGACCCTAGGCTGCCTAAGCAGCAAGGCGGTCGAATTTTCATTCATGGGACTTAGTGCTAACCCTAAAAAATGGCACGTGTAGAAATCAAAATGGAAAAGATTCGAAGAAAAATAAAGGATCCAATGACCCCATCAATTTCGATTAGTATAGTTCGAAAGGAAGCACTAGTGGACTTAATATAGCACTAATTAGGAGGTGCGATTTGTTCCAAGTGAAAGGCTTTAAAAAGGCAAAGAAAAGGTCCAAAAGGATATAGAAAGAAGTAGTGATAAAAATATAGTGACTTCTGGTCTTACTTAAAGTATGGCTCTTGATAGAGAAGAATAAAAAAACAAGGTTGATATAGCCAACCCCAAATAAATGGGATAAGGCATTGATGATGATGAATGACATGCAAAGTATTTAACTAAAATTGGAACCGTTTAAGATTGCAAGGATAAAATTCATAAAAACTACCATAAAATGACATGTCACCAAATTTCAAATAACCATAAGGTCCATTATTAATTGTGGCCCTAGGTAACTAAATCTTACAAAAATATCCTTCCGATAAACATTTATTAGTATTACACCCAATGGATCAACTCAATTTTACTCCAAAGCAATCTAGTTTTCACTTGATTGTTATTCCACAAACACCGTCCAATATTCACTTCCATGTTGGGCGAGTGTGGCCATTAAAGGCCTTATGAGTGTTTACAATAAACATTTTGATATAATGGAACATGAACTCAGTGGGAGTGTGGTCTTTCATTGACCATACTAAGCAAATAACATTCGCTAATACTGAACTGAGTTTTACGAATTGCTAGACGGTTGGGAAAAATCCAGGTTACCTGGGCATAAAAAATTAACTGATAAGGGTTTTAATGAGTCATCCCTTGATGAGGCCAGAGTATGTCCGGATGAGTGAGCCGAGGGACTATGTGGCCCTTGTGTGTAATGATGGCCTTCGGAAACGGGGGCCAAAGCCTCATCCGCGTGCCATCACATGGCATGCATATATAATAGTCATTATAAAAAAGCTAACCACCGTTTAGGGTGAAGCTTATGCATGTGCGAGAGATACCCCTATGAGCAATATGAATTTAATTTTATTTATCAAATTTTGATTTATAAAAATAAATATATTGATTTAATTATTTAAATTGGATTTTATAAATTTCTAAATATCATATAAATTTTAATTAATTTATTTTTGCATGGGATGCCCAATACGCATATGGGCCCACCATTGCAATGTCAGTGGGGCGCATGAGTGCCAACTAGGGTGGCACGCCGCACTCCAAGGAGCTTTCCATTTCGTGAGATCAAGCTTTGGCTTGAAAATAAAGTTATGTGATATTTTAGAAAAGCCTTTGTCTTGAGGAAGCTTTGAATGGATTTTTGGAAAACATGAGAAGGCTAGTGCATATTTTTTTAGTAAGCACAATATTATGATTGAAATTATTTATTTAGTTTCTATTGGTGGAAAAGTGGTTTAGGAAATGGGGGGATGAAGGTTTTAACACTTTCTATATGATCTTGATGCCATATCTATGGAATGGAGGGCTCAAATCACTCACCTCACAAATAACCCAAGATCAATTGGGCATATTCAATCTCACAAGAAGAGGCAAGCCATGGAAAAGCTTAAAAAACCTCAATCCTATTTTTTCACTATAAATAGAAGACCCATGCCTATAAATTTCTACATCAAAATCTCTCTTCTCTCTCTAAATATTTATATCTCTTATTGGTAAGAATAGGGGGCACACCTTAACTTAGGAGATCTCTCTCTATAGAACTTAGTAAAGGGCATGTCCCACCTCTTAGACCATCTCTATCTCTCTAGGTTGGCCTTAGGGGCACACCCAACCCTAGTTGGTATTGATCTCTCTCTCATGTTGTGTTATGTTGATCCTAATAGTTGGGTAGAAGTAAGTTGTTCTCTCTCTTAAACTAGATTTTATGAGTTGTACCTTAATTTAAGATTTATGATCAAGAGGAGTTCAAAATTCCATTAGAAGGTTTGACCAAAAAACTTGTTTTTCCGGTTGAGATTGAAGGTTGATCATTGATCCCGCACAATCGGATGGTGGTGACTCAATGTGGAATGTAATAAGCCCGATGGTGGTGACTCGATATAGGCTGTAATAAACCCAGTTGAAGTAATCTCCTACAATCTCTTTTTGTTTCCCGTCATATTTAATTGTATTGTTTTTATATTCCCAAACATAAGAATTGTGACTATTTCTTTGTTTAAAGAAAATTGGTTTAGTGACATCAAAGTTAGATCTTAAATTTGCTAGTTTTATTTTTTTGAAGCAAGAATTTATTATAATAAGACTACGATCTTTGCCAAAAGAAAAAAAAAAAAAACAAATATATATATATATATTCCCCGGCACAGTAACCTCTCGCATCTTCAATCACTCACAAGACATGTTCAAGCACTCATGCGCAAGAAAAATGCAACCCTTGCATTTATACTTCAACAGTTATGGCCTCTAGGTTAGAAGAGAGAGAGAGAGAGAGAGAGAGTATATGAGTATGATGCTCACATTTCTATTAGTTTTAGACAAATTCAGCTGTAACTAATATTCCGAATTCAGTTCATATCCCTGTTAGCGCTCTTTGTTCTTGCGATATGTTTCTTCCAATTTGTATCTCTCTTTTCGTACCTTTTTCTTAATAAATGAATTTGACCATACCAATTAAAAGGAAAATATATGAATTAATTATCCCAAAAACAATTTCAAAGTACTAAAACATCTTTCAAAAAAGAATTTCAAAGTACTAACTAAAATAGGAATACAGTGAATTGTATGAATTCCAAAATTTCCCCACAAAGTAGGCACAAGGGGCTTAGCCCTGCAACCGGAGACCAATAGACCACCACACATGAATGCCATAGAACACTAATCACTGTGCATATTACTTTACGAGATAGAAGGTGAAATATTTATACAAGCTGCTGACAGATCATAATTTTGATTAATAATGCCAAATAAGGAAAGGACATCGTGCATAGATTCGAACTGCAAAATTCCAACTAGAACTTCATCAAAAGAGAACTGTACGATTACTTGCTCACAAAAAGAATATTCTAGCCTAAATTTGTCAGTCATACTAGACTGCAATGTTCAGAGTCATAGTTGATGTTGTAGCGATATTCGGTGTCAGCTAGTTCTAAGTTCAAAGTCAGAATCTAATTAGTCATCTGCATCCACATCTTCGAACTTGATACACATTTCAGCATCAGTAGAAACTTTCTTTACATTTGTCAACACATCCATAGCTGTTTTCGCCCTCACAGTTGAACGCAAGTTCTCATAGAAACTAAGAGTAATGTTCTCAAGCTTCCTCGTATGCCTAAGTAAAAATGTCACAAAGCGTATCTCGCCTACCAATCCTTCTAAGTTTGTTACTGTTACAGTTTTAAGGTGATTGGCCATACAATATGTCGGCTTCCGTAAGTCCCAATATTGTGAAGCTAAAAGTTCCTTATCATCCTGGTTCAACTGAAAATGAAGTACAAGAACCAAACAGAAGATAAGAGGAAGGCAATAAGAAAATAGCAAATAATACTAAAATCCAATGGAATGTTGACAACCACAGTCCATTGGAGTCAACACTATCAGAAGAAATGATATATATAGAGAGAGAGAGAGAGAGAGAGAGAGAGAGAGAGAGAGGGAGGAGTTGCCATTGGGGTCCCTCCCATTCCCACCCTCTCCCCAGCATCATCAGTCATTTCATAGGACAGTGGTAACTCCAATGGAATTTAATTTAATATACTACATAAAATTCTTGTATATATCTCCCAAAGAAGATACATGCACTTTATATACTGTATACTCGGCCAGTGATAATGTGAAAAATTGAAAGCGAGAAAAAATGGCAGAAGACCCACTGAAAGAACAATTTTTTCCAAGTTATTGCAGCTCTCCAGGAAGTGATAAATTATCCGAGTCTCCGATGATTTTGTCAAATTCACACCCACATCCAATTCCTTGATGTTTGGGAAGCTTGTAGGCAGAGCATTCCACACTTCAGCATCAGCCAAAGTCTTCCACCATAACATGAAATAAGAACATAGGTGACACAGAGAAGTGAGCACCAAGGGAAGAAAGAAAATATTTCCTTTTGGATTTTTTAACTGCGAACGTTTCTATTGAGTTTCATCAAGTTAGCGGTAATTTTTCAAAAAACAAAACAAATCCTGAAATCCATAGAAACTACTTGAGACACAACATAACAAGAACTCCAGCCAGCAACATTTGTGGCAGAAAACCAGAAACCCCATGTAAAGGATGAAAAGAAAAGTTTATTAAAAATTAAAATTACTAAGCGCCTCAAACTAGTAGTATATTATCCACAAATAAGGAAATATCATTCAGTGAGTTTGTGAAAAACTTGCTTTCAAGCAATATGCTGAGATGCTGAGGAAACCCACATCAGAAAGTTCCTAAGCAACAGCCACTTGGATAAAGAGAGGAACATAATATGTTACCTTCACAAAATATCCGGCTAGAGTCAATGACTCGACATGAGCCAGCTTACTCAGACTCCTAGCCACCTTGTGGAAAGGATTTTCTTGAATGGTAGGCGGTCTCTTCTCTATACATGAGATAATGGTAGCATCCAACAGTCGCGGAACACTCAAAACAGGGGAACCAAATATACAACCCATAAAACAGAAATGCAACAAACTGGGAGCGTCAATCTCAATGTCTCCTAAAGACATGAGGCAGCAACATATCATTACGTTCTTAAGCTGGCTATGAGGACCAGACATCCTAAAACTCTCTGTATCCCTGCAGTATAATAAGGCCAAACCTTGGAGGACTTTACATTTGGAAACCAAAGTTGAAAGTTGGTCACCATTGATATATACATCAGATAGAAATAGAGTCCTCAAAGAGTTAAAGCCCTTGAAGTCCAAAGGAACATTCATGATGCAATTTTTTAGCATCAATAGCCTCAGAGATATACAATCAAAGAACCGAGATGGCAACTCATAGTCATGTCCTCCTAAATAGACTCCTTCAACTTCCCTACGGAAATTGATACTGATTTCTTGTACACCACTCTTTGTTAGGAAAGAAACCCATTCATCAACATGGGACTCGAATCCACGGGGGTCAAAATCAAGTAAAAATCTTTCAACTCGATTGATATGGAACTTCAAGACATGGTCAATGATACCCACCATTCTCTTTCTTTGTTTATAACCCCTCTGCTTTCCACACAACTCGTATTCACAAAAGAAGAGGTTCTCAGTAGCAGTCCACACCTGTTTCCATCTACTGGAGAGAACGCTCGTCTTCACAGCTTCCTGTATGGACAAAAATGTGACAATGTGACTAAGAATACCGTCTGGCAAGTCGTCAATCTGAGTAGTGTTCCCATCCTCTGAGATTTTCCTGTCCATATTCTCCAATGAAAGGGCCCTTCCGCTTAAGCCCCCCATATATCGGTCCCTAAGGTCAGGTATGTTCAAAGATCTTGTCACAAATCCAACAACAAAACCAAAATTAACCATTCAAGGCCAATCATTACGTCAGAAAACAATGGAATCACAACATGAGGAATGTAATCTATTCTTTATTTTCATGATTAGTCCTTTCATAAAGTTTTATGTATTCTTCTTTTGATTGCTACAAAAGAATTGGGCAACTAGGTTTTGTTTATCACTTTCCAAAATTAGCACCATGGCAAAATGAGCTATTGTCTGAGGAATCATGGCTTAATTACAACACTGGGCAAGAATACACCCTTTTTTCCAGTATTATATAACTTGCTATGAACATTAGTAATAACATTTTTCCAAGATTAACAATACAGTGTAGCAAGAGGAAATTAAAAAAAAAAAAACGATAAAAATAAAAGACGTTAGCATACATACACCTAATGATGAATACAAAAAGAGACATACCTATGGTGACAAACATAGCATTCCAATCTAATTATTAATTATACTCAATTATATACAAAAATTAAATTTGTAATTCAAATTCTCTTTATATATTAAGATTCTCTAATTAGCCACACCTAGGATGCATGCAAAAAGAGACATTTATAAAGAGGTGCAAACTACTTGGATAAGCGTGTAACCCAAACAATATCAAAACTATATATAGCAACTGGATTTTCTTCCCCATTGGCTTATCTAAGGATGTGGTGAAATGAAACCCCACCACATGGGAGAGGGAAAACATCTCAAATAACATCAACAGTATGCACTACCATATATTTTCTTGAAACCATCTCCCATGAGTTGGAGGCATCTGAAAATTAAAAGAAAAGCTCCATGTACAAGGACTTGTATCAGGAGTTTGCGTCCCCTAACATCTGTAGTATCATCCCAGCTGATGGGCCAAGTGAAAATCATGTGAGGCTCACTAGAGCTTACCTTAAAAATAAAAATAAAAATAAAAAAATCACCCGCAAGGGACTTGGAAGTGCAAAAAAGCTGCCATGAACTTAAAATTAAAATGTTCTATCTATCCCAAATAGATACAACTTTTTTTTTATACTAACTCTTCTATATAAATGAAGGCCAAGTTTCAAACCACCATTAAAATCAACCAAACAAGTATTTAGACTCAATTAAAAATTTAACAGAGACATGGGGAGTTTTTTTTTGGGGAAATTGAGACATGGGGAGTTTCCAAGGCCACTTCACCAAAGAAACCTAATCAAAATAAGTTAGTATTTCAAATATCAAAAAGCACTGATAAAATGTGAGAGAGTAACCCATAAGCTAATGAATGAAGAATCCCCCATTTCCCAAAAATGAAAAATTTTACCCAATAATTACTCCAAAAAAAAAAAAACAGAAAGAAGGATTACCCAAATGCATGTGTATGCATTATAAGTATCAGAAAGAGAAACATAACAATGAGAGAATAAAAATGAAAAAAAAAGAAAATAAGGGAATTTATTTAACAATAAAAAAGTAAGGGAATTTATTCAACAATAAACAGGTAATAACAGGAGGCAATTTAAAAATTGTAATTACCAGCGGGGAGCGAGTCCTTGTCTGTTTTGATTAACTTTTGAAAGAGGCAGGAAAACCCTAACTTCTCGCTTTAGCAATAAAAAAAAAATTGAGAATATAAAATCCAATGAAACTCGGAACTAGGAACTTGACGAAAATGCCCCTCATTCGAAAGAGATGGAGCCTGGCTGCGATATGCAAAGGAAAACAGTATACAATAAACTACGTATTTTTAGTAATTTACGATAATTGATGTCCGTCAGATTTTAAATTGGATGGTTGTCAGTTAGGCTCAAGGTTTAAAATAATTTGACTCGGGCTTTATAATAAATTTTGTGACTGTCATCTAACAAACAAAGATAAATAATCTCATTGTATACAATCTCTATTGTGAATCGTGGAAAATTATCAAAATAAAATCTTATGTATGTCACCAGGGGATGTGTTTCTACATTTGCGCCTTTTGAGACATAAACCATCAATCTCAAAGATGGATATAAATGGTGGTCCCTCCAAATAAAAAATTAAAAGAGAAATTATCATAAATATATTTTAATTTTTATCTAATTGAAAAAAAACTTTCAATTTTCATAGACCTCGTCAATTTTCATAAACTCGTCCACATCCTGTTTTTCTTATTTTTGTTATTTTTTTTAATAAAAATATCTTTCAAGGTAGTCATATTACCATGAAGGAACTATCATTACAGTACTTTAAGTAATGTAATGTGGTAGTTATTATTGTAATACGATTACTATAAAGCTATTTTGGTAAAAAAAACAATCAAAATTGATGAAAAGAATGTGAACGAAGTTTATGAAAATGGAAGGTTTCTTTTCAATTAGCCAAAAATTAAATTAAAACTAATGATCCAAATATTTCCCTCAAAATTTATTATTTTTACTTTCAAAATTTATTTCTTTTTGTATGTTAACGATCTCCACATTGGAGATTATACTCTCCATCAAAATTCGGGCAAAATCCATTTTAAAAATAAATTATTAAGAGGGGGCGCATTTCTATATGAGTCCCCAGACTCATACAAACAATGTTTTAAGTTAATTTCCCTTTACTTTATCTCCCATTCTCCCTCAAGGTCAATTGAAAATATGTATTTCTCATCATTACTTGGGAGGATTATACTTGCTTCTGGCGTATTACTTAAAATTTTTAATTTCATCTCCTTATGTCCCTTACTGGAACGTTGATGATATTCTTTTGTCCATCAATTTCTCTGGTCATATGAATCAAATTAGAGTGGGGAGAAAAATACATTAATAACTAATAATTCCAAAAATTCCATTGTCTCTTAGGGTGTGTTTTGTATATGGCCAAGGCCCTAAATAATCAAAGTAGGGCGTATGTATTGAAGTATGTTGTTTCAGCATTAGAAATTTTTATGATGTCCTAAAAATTTATTTTCATCTCCAATTATTAAATTAAAATCCAAAAATAGTGTAGATCGAACAAATCTATAAACACTTGAAAATCTTTAAAATTAATGATCTAGATAATACAAGATGCACTATTTTTAGCACTTGAAATTTATTTTTCTTATATTCATACATCTTGAGATCAAGATATTCAAATTGAGGGTTTTCCAGCATATATAGGACACGGTTTTTACAGGTCCCAGGACTCATACACATATTCATCCCCTCTTTATGGTGCATTTTTTGATGGATTTTGGACCTAATATGTTGAGTTCACATAATCTTTAATATGGAGATCACGAATGTGTATAAATAAATAAATATTATAAATTAAAAGTGATTTTTTTAAAAAAAAATTTAAACCGTTGATTTTATCTTTTTTTTCTTTTTTTTTGGAAAGAGCACAACTCCACATCCCCGATCCGTGTTGCCTCATAGGATGCAAATCTAGTTATGGGTGGTGACTGTGGTCCCACAGCCAAAACACCTACAACAGAGACTTTTATATGCACGACCACTAAATCACTTTCCTTTAGTTTTTAACGTGGTGTTTTGTCGATGTTTGCCATGCCCTTTGGGCTAGTTATAGAGCCACTTTTTTTTTTTTTTCAATTTTAATTATAAAAGGGTTTATATAGAATGAGACAATTTATATTTGATACAAAGAGGTCATAATTATTTATAATTATTCCATATAAAATCTGATAGCTTGGGTTTGTCACAAAGTTCAAAAAAAAAAAATTTAAAGTTTAAGCTTGGTCAATGGAATAAATGCAGTCATCCAATGGTCAAGATTAATTGTCACCACTTTGTACGAAAGGTACATGGTCATATTGTGTACTTTTTTTATTATAAAATGGTGGCTTGGCTTAAGTGGGAATATCTTTGGTGGTCTAGCGAGACCACGCCACTCATGCTCTCAGGCCAAAATTTTAAAGTTTGACAACTTTCATTATCTTAAAATTTTGCATTCTTACCCATCAATTAAGTTAATAAAAAAATATTTTTTTTTTTATTTGGAGCTGAGAATAAAAGAAAGACATATGTGATCTTTTACTGGGAAATACATTTTTTTTTTTCTTCACCCCTTTCTTTTGGCAAAAGATCACTTACATGTAGTCTAATTTATTATAGTAAGATAAATTTCAAAATAAAATCAACATAACAATAAAACCAAGATCTTAACAACTTGATGTCATTGAAACAACTATGCACTATGCTTGAGAATAAAAGATAAGATTGCAAGAAACAAAAGGAAGAGTGCCGGAGATTACCTTAACCGGGCTTATTACACCCCATACCAAGTTACCACCATCCGATGGCGCGGGATCAACAGTCTAGCTTCAATTTCGAACCGAAAAACAAATTTCGATCAAGCCACACTAATGGAACATGAACCCCTTTGATCACAACCTCAAACCCTAAGTGAATTCTCTTAGCAACTTAAGTTGAAAGAGATGGATTCTCTTTTTGCTAAACCTTAAAACCCTTAGCCATAAATCCATATTTAAGAGATAGAAGAAAAGAACTCCATAACCTAAACCTTTAGGTTCTTTAATAATGTGGGAGAGAGAGAAACTTTCTTAAGAGAGAGAAATAGAAAAATAAGGTGTAGAGATTTTTTTTTTTTTGGTAGAGACAATTTTTTTTTGTAGGCTTTGAATAAGATTAGGGTTTTTTAGGATTTTCTTTGACTTGCATTTTCTTGTGAGATTGAACAGAGACCGTCGATCAAGGGTGACTTTTGGGGTGAGCGATTTGAGCCATTCATTCCATAGATGGACCATCAACATTATGGAAGGTGCATGAACAATTATCCTCATTTTCTAAACCATTTTCCCATCAATAGAAATTAAATAAATTAAATCTAATAAAAATACTGTGCATACTATAGAATAACACAAGTCTACTCAATCTTTCCACAAAATATTTCAAAGGTATATCAAGTCAATATCTTCCAACCATATGGCCACATGCCATATCACCAAAAAATAGGAAAGAGAATAAGGATGGGGCGTGCCACCCAAGGGAGGCACTCATGGGCCCCACCTTCTAAAAATATGACAGGCCCATGTGCACAATGGGTCCCCATGATATTTTTATATATTTAAAATTAATAAAAATATTTTAGAATATTATTTGAATAATTAAACAATTGTAAAATCAATATTTTTAATTTTATAAATTCAAAAATTATAAATAAAATATCCAGGGGTTCATAAAAATTCAAATAATAATATTAAAATAATTTTCATCATAAAACAAATACAATTAAATTAATTTGATGGGAAAAGAATTTATACGGTTTAGGAATCAACAATCATGGGGCACTCCAACTTCAATTGTGGACTATAGACCACACTTATTTTATCAGACCGACCTAGTATTTCCATGACCCACAGTCCAAGCAAGGGCTCATTAGCAGGTCACCAAAGTCCGGCCGATGAGCCAAGGGATCACAATTCCAGTCTATGTATTTCAGGTCCTCCCCTAGAGACGAGTCAATGTCACATAGACCTGATGCGACCATAGCTCCTATGGTGCATAGGGGTATCTCTCTTGCACATGCATACGCTTCACCCTAAAAGATGGATTTCTGGCTTTCCCGAATGATCTATCGATATGTATGCCATGTGATGGCACATGGATGAGGCTTTGGCCCCCGTCTCTATAGGCCACCATCATACACAAGGGTCATACAGTCCCTCGGCTCACTCATTCGGGCATATTCTCCGACCTCATCAAGGGCTAACCCATTAGAACCCTTCTCGGTTTGTTCTTTATATTTAGGTAATATGGGTTTTTC